ATTTGATTTTATTTAATACAAATGTATTATCTAAGACTGGTAATGAAATTAAGGTATAAAACATTGACAATTTAATCTTTTAAAATGAAATCAAATGAAAATGTAACAATCCCTCTTTATTTATTTATTTATTTAGCTAAACACAGTGCTGCATGACAGGTTTACTGCTAAAATTAAAACATGGAAGAAAACTTGTGTGATAATTCCTTAAAAATAAGGTTTTATTAGTAGTAGTAGTAGTAATAATAATGAGAAGTCAATTCTACTGAACTATACTAATACATTTTTGTCAAAATGCCTTCAAGTTAAACCAAACTTTTATTTTGACAGGTTGTCTTGTATATTATATGATGATAGTCTTCTCAAATGAAATAGTGAAGTGACTGGAGAGGAAATACATTTGTTCATGTCCTTACATATTAAGACGGCATATGTACTGTATGTGTAGACGAAACTGCACGTCTGTGACCATTGTCATGTGTATGGTCAACTTTGGTTCTGACTTTGTGTTTCCTTGTTCTGTTTTAATTAACCTAGTTTCCTTTGTTTCCATATCCTGATTATTTCTTTGATTACTCCCTGCAAGTACAGTTGCAATCAAAATTATTCAACCCCTCAGAGACTGCAGTACTTTACAAATGCAAACTTTTCTGAAGCTATAAAATTGCATCTTTAACAGTTTACATATTAAAAGTGATCATGTCAATATATAACAATCTAACAATGCCACAGGAATTCAAGCATAGAAAGTGGGGAAGTAATGCTACTGACCTTGCAGTTTGTAAGATTCATTTCCATCGATCCGATAACTAGTGGGCAATGCTGTATACAGGTGTAAACAGGGTCTGAAATGTTTTGAGCTTGTCCACTTTCGACCACTTCCAGAGATAATTGAAAATGCATTAAACGGAATTGCTTTCATAGTGTAGATACTCATGTGGTCAAATGGTTTCGAACAACCACAAAAGACTGCCTTGCCACCCACTGCACTAACGCATGAGCAATATGGGCCGTGTTTTGAGAACACATGCCTAAACAATTAATTCAAACTTTGCTATGTCGTGCCAAAACATGCGGATTACAATCAAAATCATCCATTACATTCGCTACCTTTTCTGGTCACTCTTAGATAGTGTAATGGCTGCATTAATTCAGTCATATTTGTACACTGCACACAGCACTCCCACGTGTAAGCACCCTTTCCCTACAGTAGTTCAGATACAAATAGACAAAAGAAACGTTATCAGCACGATGGTATAAAACTGTACATTTCTTGTGTATTACCACCCACTGCTACTTATACCAATGATGGAAATAAGTGCAGTTAGAATAGCCAAATATGTGGGAGAGCATTACTATTATGTGACTATATTGTATTGCAATAGGTAGCACTTCAAATTTAATGTTGAGTCAAGACTAGTTATCACATAATTTATAATTGAAATGGTTTAATAACAGTATTTCGTTGTGGTTACACTTGAATTGGTTACAAAGTAGATGAAGGATGATAATACATATACAGTTAAATGTACCCAGCATGTATGTAAAATGTTACCTGAGAGAGAGAGAGGGACATGGCCCCAGCGACGAAAGAGATATCACCAGCCAAGAGAAGAGACACAGCAACAGTTAAAATCTTATTTTATCCCTTCCTTGACCATGTGACTAAAAACCAAATGTGAATCAGCAAATGACAGCTTTCCCCACCGTGCAAAAGGTGTGACAATCAGCAGACCACCGATATATACACATGTTGGCCTACAGGTCTTGATCACAATCAGCACTTCTGTGCCTTCAGGAATTCCAAATGGCCCTTTTGTAACTGGAGATATAGGTTTTGGGCAGGAAAGCAGAAGTCTTTGATCATTTTCAACCCTACACATGAAAATTATGTAAGAGTGTGACAAAATAAGTGAGGAGGGTCTAGAGGAAATCTGTCAAGTGGTCCCAGGAGATGCATTTAAAATGCATGTTTTAGACAAGGTGGAAACAGTAACTCATCTTGGCTGACCAATTGTGAACCACCATTCTTCATCAAACGTAGCACCTACTCTAACAGAACGTGATTTCAGAAGTAGCAATAGTGAACAAATTCATGGGGGAATGATTCAATGACTCCATTGATTCAATTGACTGGCTGTGTCCGAAATATAATACTATCTGCATAGGTACTTCTTTTGGCTTTTGAACACCAGGACAGCCAGGCACAAAAATAAGTTTCTTCCCCCAGGCAATCTACCTCATGAACATGTAATTGCTCTCCCCATTGTGCAATAATAATAAGTTCAATATTTATTTGATACCACCCTTCTTAGTCCATCCCACATCTATGCTATTCCATCTATAGCAAACCTGTACATACAATTTATTGTCTATTTTTGTTTATTTATATATACATATGGGGGAAGTCGTGGCCTAATGGTTAGAGAGTCGGACTCGTAACCCAAAAGTTGCGGGTTCGAGTCTCGTACCGGCAGGGATTGTAGGTGGGGGGAGTGAATGTACAGCGCTCTCCCACCTTCAATACCACGACTGAGGTGCACTTGAGCAAGGCACCGAACCCCCAACTGCTCCCCAGGCGTGCCCACTGCTCCGGGTGTGTGTTCACGGTGTGTGTGTGTTCACTGCTGTGTGTGTGCACTAAGGATGGGTTAAATGCAGAGCACTAATTCCAAGTATGGGTCACCATACTTGGCCACATGTCACATGTCACGTCACTTTCATATGTGTATTTTATTCATAAATCTTTAGTTTTTATTATCTGTGTGTTGTTGTTGTTGTCTCCGTGTACTGGAAGTTTCTGTCACCAAAACAAATTCCTTGTATGTGCAAACATACTTGGCAATGGTTAAGCTCTTTCTGACTTCTAATTTATTACTTCGCAACTGTAAAGTTGTATCGCTTCACAACCATTCATTCTCTCCTGTGTAAAGTGTCCATTGGATGCATGCTTCAGAATCTCACCCGGAAATGTTTTTATGAATAAGGTGAATTCGGACATGCTATTCTCTTCCCTTACTGTTTTTCGCCTACTTTATAGTGAAGTATGCCTGTTTGGATGCAGCCAATGCGATTTTAGATGTAACTGATGTAAACGTTTAACCTGCAGAAAGAGTCACTGAAAAATCCCGGTGTAACAGAACAAAGAGAGTGATACAAACAGTGAAAAGTCCCAGTGATGTTGGAATGCCACTCAGCCAATCAAATTCAATATACAGTATATACAGTGCTGTTCAAAAGTTTTAGATCAGATGTTTTTAAAAGAAGTCTCTTCTGCTCACCAGAATACAGCAAAAACAGTAATATTGTGAAATATTACTGATTCTTTGATCAATAGAAAGTTCAAAAGAACAGTAGCTAAAAAAGAAAGCTAAATTGTTATAATGTATTATTTATATATAGTATTTCTACGGTCAAAATCTTGGCTGGAAAAAAAAAAGATCAAATCAAAATTCAATGTGGTCTCAGACTTTTGGACCCCATGCACCGTATAGGTCTATATGGTTGGATGATGGTGGGATTTATTGCTTTGGTAAGAAATGTGTGTTGAGAGCACAGATGTAAGCATGTTCATTAAAGAACTGTGATGTGCAAAACATTCTGGAAGCATGATTGTTTCGGGCCACATTCATCTATGAGCAGCTGGCAGATTAGATTTCTGCCTCTGCTGTTGCTGTCACTCCCTGTTAAGACAAGCACATCAAGATCGATCAGTGAGCAGCAAACAGAGGTAGCATTTAGAGGTAGTCGTTAGGTGCAAAGACAAAGGCAGCGGGCGGTACGAACAAGATGCTGCTTAATTAAAAAGCCAACTCTGCCTCACCACTGCTAATATGGGCTGACAGAGGTCAGGCACAGTACGGTTTAGTTTAGATTGACTTACAAGAGGATAACCTATTTTGTCATCTTAAAATCTGCTTATTCTTCTGAGGAAACTAAGACTAGAAGTTCCTTTAACAGATCAAATGTTTTCACATGCCAACCAAAGGTCTTATAACTGTTACTTGGCAATGCAGCATCTACTGTATATTCTACCAATTTGTCTTCTGAAAAGATCTTTTTTTTTTTTTTTTTTTACTTCCAGAACCAAATGTGCTCTATTGAGCATTGCAGTTTTTCTAATTCATTTCTGTCTCCTTCTCCTATTGTTTAAAAGGTCAAAAGTTTGGAACGTTCTTTCTTTCTTTCTTTGTCTCTTATGCTCACCAAGGCTGCATTTATTTGACCAAAAAACAGTAAAACAGTAATATACAGTGAAAGTTAAATAGTATTACAATTTTAAATAGCCGTTTTATATTTGAATATATATTTTAAAATGTAATTAATTACCGTTACGGCAAAGCTGAATTTTTAGCAGCCATTACTCCAGTCTTCAGTGTCACATGATCCTTGAGAAATAATTCTAATATGCTGATTTGGTGCTCAATTATTATTGGTATCAATTATTAATAATGGTTCTTATTATCATTGTTGAAAACAGTTCTTGCTGCTTAATAGTTTTGGGGAAACTATTACAATTTTTCAGGATTTTTGATGAATGAAAGTTCTAAGGAACAGTATTTATTTGAAAGGGAAATCTTTTGTAACATGAATGTTTTACTGACTTAGGGTTAGGGTTACTAACACTTTTGATCAAATCAATGCATTGTGAATTAAAAAATATGTAATATTTTACAATATGATTGTTTTTACTGTATTTCTTTTTTAATAAATGCTACGCATAAGAGCATAAGAGACTTCTTGTAAAACATTTTTAAACAATCTTAATTATTCCAAACTTTTGAGCAGTAGTGTATATATATATATATATATATATATATACAGTATATATATAATATTTGTGACATTGCATTTACCAAACATTATTTTTTTGTGCAAAAATTGGATGAAAATGGCTGCGGAATGTCATTTCTCACAGAGTGCTGACAAGAGACAATTAGCTTTTAAAAGTTCTGATATGTGAAGTTCTCGAAGTTCATCTCATGCCATTATGTCTCTTAACTCATTAACAAAATGACACCATCAAAGAATGAAGCAGTTGGGCTTCTCAGTAGTGTGTCTTTGTGTGTGGGAGAGAGACAGAGGTGTTACAAAACAAGGCTTCAATTCAAAAACATGACCAAGTGTGATTTCTGTGGTGGTGTGTCCTCTAGTGGTGAGGAGTGTGCATGAGAAAACCCCTTAAAACGGCACACAGCACACAAATGTTAATCTATATCGTATGATATCTGCTATATAATCAATCTGTTATTTACATATGCAATGTTGTAGCATGCATTGATTCATGAACGCATTTAGAATTACAACGACCACAAAGCACTAAAGGGAAAAGTTCAAAATCAGGTAAATTCCCATTATTTTAATTTTACTATTCATGCACCACACTAACATACATTAGACATCATACCACATCAAGAAGATCTGGACGTTCAGGAATTGTTCAGGACTGTTTTCAAAAACTATATCATAATTTTGTTAAAATCTTGTGAAATGAGAAATCAAGTCTTGCTATGTCTATACCCGTTACATGTTAAAATAGTCCTATCAAGTCCATAATGATAGTTTTAAAGTATATTAATTCATCTTTAGCTACAAGGCATACAATTATCCAGTGGTAAAGGTGCAGATTAGTGTCCATCAAGGCTCAAGTGATTATGTGGCCACATTCTGACCAAACATTAAGATGTGAAAAATGCATTTTAGCACTTTTAGTCAGTAAGTTGTGATAGAAGGGCTGTAATTGGTCGAGCTGAACTGGGTCAAGAATACTGCTGGGTGAATTTCTGATGGAATTCCTTCAGTTTGTTGAGCAAAATCTTGAGCTTGTCTGTTGGAGGAAGGATGGTCATCCTGGTGAAACAAAAAACACAGAAGAGGAATGGAGAGGAGGGAAAATGAAAGTTCTATTTAATGTCGGAATAGATATACAGTACCTGTCAAAAGTTTGGAAACATTATGATTTTTAAACATTTCTTATGCTCACCAAGGCTGCATTTAATGCATTCAAAAATACAGTATATACATAAATTACAAAGAAGAAACTTTACAAGAGAACACAAACATTTTGCAAGTGAAAACAAAAGCACTGAAATATTATTTTTCCTCATTTTGAGTGCCTACATTTTTAGCAAATATTGCATATAGCCTCTAAATTCTAATAATTTCCTATATGTTGAGAAGCTTTAAGTATTTGCTTATAAAAACAGCATGTATGCATAAATAAATATATTTCATTTATTTTTCTATTTATTAATCTATTTTATAAATAGGAAAAAACATTGTGTGGTGTGATTTTTTTTAACCAAATATTCCATGTACTGTAACTTCTCAATGAGCTTAACAGCATGTACTGTATAATAAAGTCAGCATGAAAAGAAAATCCAACCTATCTATTTTCTAAATGCATGTTATGGGTATTATTGTGACCAATTAATTGTGCATGTTTCATTTTAACAGTTTTTTGTTTTTTTTGACATAACTCAATCTTTCAGTGAAACAATCAACCTCTCTGCCTCCACCCAACCAACAACCAAAGGATAAAACCAAATTTCCACCCTAATTTGTTTTCTTTTTCTTAATCCATTTCACCCAGATGTGTCACAATATGGGAGAAAAGATCTATTATGACTTCAGCTTCATCACAAGAACTAGAACATTTATCTTAAAATAGTTTTAGATGAACTACAGCACTGCAGGACACTGATGTCATTGCTTGATATTTCATCTATCAACTATCCATATTTTGTGTGTCAAAAATTGCTTTTAAAAACCATGAGAAGAAAGTTCAAAACTCTTGAGGACACACACACCTGAAGTGATAAGTGCCTTCCCGTTGACCAAAACCACTGCCAGGAACGAGACAGATCCCAGTCTCCTCCAGAAGTTTCATGCAGTAGAACATGTCTGGAGCCTGACCCTTCGCCTGTATTCACACACACAACAAGCCATGAACCAAGTGAACTAGACCAGGCAGAAGACATAAAGAACGTGTGACACAAACCGACCTTGGCTTCGTTGATGGCGCGTTCAGGTAGAGTGATACGGGGGAAAGAGTACATGGCTCCCTGCACAGGGTTACAGCTGATGCCTGGCACTGTATTCAGAATCTCCTCGGTCAGTTTGGCTTTTTCAGCCAAGGCACTCAGGATGGCTGTTCGTTCCTACACGAGACAGAGGAAGAGGACTGACAAAAAAAGGAAGAAGACTGGAATACTAGCCAAAGCGGTTAACTGGATTATACGAGCAAAAAGCCCAGCCTTTCTTGCAGAAACAGAAGAAACACTGTACAGCAGTTGAAAACTATATCTACGTCTGTCCTTAACTGAATACAGACAAAGGAACTGAACCACTGACCATCTTTTCTTTCATATTTAAATCCCTAAAAATGAAAATTATGTCATCATCTACTCATCCTCATGTCATTCCAAACCTGAATCATTTCATTTTTTCTGCAGAACAAAAAATCAAGATGTTCAGAAAAATGTCTCTGTTTTTGTCTATATAATACAATCAGTGAGACACTGAAACCATAAAAACCACATACTCTGAGTGTCCTTACAAATGTGTTAAAATGAAATTTTATACATAGATATTTCATCATAATATATATATATATATATATATATATATATATGCTCAAGAATGGTAGAATCTAGTATGGTAGAATAAGTTGACGTACTTGCAAAGACCCTTAATGTCAGTTTATCTGTTGGTTGACCATCAAAATAAAGTGTTAGCATATATTTACAGTAGCAGACATACTAATACTCTAATGACCGCTAGTTGATTTAGAGTCACTTATCAACAGCTGTTTAAAGGGTACCATCAAAATAATCAAACTGATATTACAATAAAAATAGTTCAAAGCAAATGTGTCATATTACACATTCATCTGATCTGATATCTGATCTTATGGCTGTTTGAGAGAACATTTTTTAATAATTATTATTATTATTATTACTACTTATAAGTGGTCTTTGACCGCTTTAAGTAAAGTAGCATAAGAAAAATGGCAAGATATGAGACTTATAATACATTATAACTATGAGAAATATAATCCATTGTAAAAGTGGATGCAACGTGTTCATTGTGTTATAAATCATCATACTCTTAAAAGCTATAACCACAAATAAGTAAATATTATAATATATTAAAACTGTTCTTATGAATATTCATGAGATGATACAACATATTATAAGTTTTTTTTTATAATGCATTATGCATTCATTATAATGCCTTAAGAATACCCTTATAATGTATTATAAATACGGGCTTCATAGAAAGTGTTACCGAGTTTAGTTTATAATTAAGTGTTTTGGTTAAAATTGACATATAAAAGTTTATGTAAATCCTGGTCACAACTTTTTTTTCTTCTTCTGTGGAACACAAAATGATGATATTTTGAAGAACATGTCAGCATTTAGTTTTTATCAATATAATAAAAGTCAATGGAGTCCAAAACAAAACTGGACCCCACTGGTTCTTATTTTATGAACAACAATGACACAAAAAACTGTGAGACATTTTTTCCAAAATAATTTCTTTTGTGTTATGCAAAAGAAAGAATGTCAGGGTGAGTAAATGATGACAATTTACTATTTTTGGGTGACGTATCCCTTGAAATGTTTCACTTAAAATTTAATTAAATTAACTTAAAATTAACATTAAATTAAAACTGACCGTATTTAATTTCTTGGTAAAGATTTCATAGCCTTGCTGTAAATGATACATCAGTGCACAATATTCCAAAGGGAAAAATGTATCAACTTGCTCTGCCTCTAAAACAACTTTTCGGATGGCATCACCAAGGCCTCCAATTTTTCCTTTCCAAAAGAGACCACTTGATAAACAACAATGACGTGTTTCATGTTTATTCTGACACCTCAAATTCCACTAATGCTCACCAATCCATTTTCAGCCACAGGCGAAGTCGATTACACCTTATGATATGGCCCGGGTGTGAACTGAAATGTTGGAACATTAATATTCATGATGAAGGCTCTACCTGATTGGTTGGTGAATCTCAATATGGAGTGGGCTTTTTAGGCATAGGGACTAATAAGCTTGCAGCTTTCTTCTACCATCCAACATTTCAGACATTTGCAACTCAAGCTTCTTCTTCCCTGGTAGTGTAAGGAAATGTTTTATTTTTCACCAGGAAAATCATCTCAGGTTACGTATGCAACCATGGTTCCCGGAGTAGGGAACGAGACACTGCGTCTTCTAGGGGTCGCTATGGGGAACACCTCGTCGTGACCCGTGTCTGAAGCATACATTGAAAAAACACCAA